ATATATATATATATATATATATATATATATATATATATATATATATATATAAACAACTTTAACAACGTGACAATACGAAAACACCTTTAACTTGTTGAACACATCATTGATCCTCTCAATAAACCTAAACCAAAATTGTTAGCTTATTAAAACGTGACAATACGATCTCAAGTATGTTGTAATATGACAGTCGATACCCCGTAGCTTACCGAACGGGGCAATCCGATCCTCAATCACACATCACAATTACAATCACAAGTACATCATCAATATAATACATTTTGATCATAATTTCATAGATACATTCGTTCATCTATCTCAGTTATAACAATCATGATCAACATTGCAACGTTCACGTATTTACAAGTATCATAATGAAGCAAGAAGATCCATGCATACCAAAATAATGAAATCATAACCAACACCTACCCCGAAACATGCTTAAATTCTTAAGAAACTTTATCCTTTCCTTTTTGAATTTGTTCAACTTTTTCTTGGTCCTCAAAGAATCACAATGACATAACAATTAACAAATAATCACTAATTACCCATATTGCAATAAATTATATGAACCATAGATCAAACCTATGATCCAAACTAGTCAAAAAAAAGGTTAATAACACTATATAGAATCTATCAAGAAACCCTTCCCCATTAATATTGACCCATTTTATTATGTTTTACAGATCGAAAAGTAATTTTGAGGAGTGAAAAGCTTACCATTAACTTCAAGATAGGTGAAAAACGAGTTTGAATAGTTTAGTTGTCGTTCTTTAGCTCTAAAAGTTGAAAAGTGCCAAATAATGTCATTTTAGGGTTTTATTTACAACTTAATTCGCGCTTGTTCTGCTATAGCGGCACCCATCCTGCTGTAGACACTACAACATTTCAGGCCTACAACCATACTAAATCTGGACAACACTTGTAAAGTGTTTCCTAAAATATTTTTAGGGACGTTTTTAAGTTGTAGCCAATATTTTTTAACTTTTGATTTCAATAATATTAGCAACACTTGTAAAGTGTTTTCTTTCATGGTATATGTTGCACTTTATGAGTTGTTATAATATGATACGATTGACAACAACTATTAACATATATGACCACATTTCTAAAGGATCATATTTTTATTATTGTAATAACAACACATTATAAATGTGATGTTAAAATTTTCACTATTTCCTCCAACATTTTTTACTCTCCCTCAAATTTTTATTGGGCCAAAAAATAATAATTCATAAACATAAATTTTTCAAAAAAAAAAATTCATAAATCAGAAAAATCATCATCTGTGAAGAACAACGCATTTTCCCGCAAATCAGAAAGAAAATCTTCCGTGGAGAACGATGCCATTTCTCCTAGTATGAAACTTCTCAAGAACGATCGATCAAGGACAGAAAGGGTTTTCTCAAGATCTCTGGTTGAATATTTTTCAGTTTCTCATAGATTTATCATTGTTCCTCAAGGACAGAAAGGGTTTTGTTTGAATCTGGGATTATTAGGTAAAAATTTCTATGTTTAAAAGGTTATGTTTACGGTATCTGGCTTTATTCCTTACGTGTGGTTACACATTGAGCTTTAGATTTTTATATTGTTGTGTTTTCTATACGATTTTTGTTGGTTATTCTTGATACCACAGGAAATAAGGCAACAAAAGTTTTCTTTGCGTCGGTTTCGTTTTTGCGTGTGAAATACCTGCTCCAACAATTTTAGCGTCGGTTTAGTTTATGCGCCACATCGATTTGGTAGTCTATTCGTCCACCCTCCCTTTATCTTCTTCTTTAATTGACAGGCCACCTCTTTCTCTTTTTTCTTCCCTATTATTTAGTTTAGTTGTACTCAATATTCACTTCTTATTTCAATGAAGTTTCAGTTTCTTAATTTGAATTCGAATTATTAATTTCAGGCATTCGTTTAATTTTGGATTCTGGTGAGTTTTCACTTCATCATGTTGTTGCTTGATAATAGAAGTTTTGCTAGTTTTTAGATTATTTTCCATGTCTTTTCATTACTTTATGAGTTTCAACCATTAACAAAGTAGAAAGATGTATTGTTTGAATTTCTATTTTAACTATGGCCTGAGTTAAAAAAAAATTCTCAAGTTATAAAATCCATCTAAACAATGAGATACATTGGAGGGAAGTTTAGTAATTCAGTTGGTTGCATTCTCTGTAATCCCTTCTTCCTTTTTTTTTTTTCCCTTTTTTCCTGTTTTTAGTAGTGTTTTTATCCTATTTTTAGAGTACGTTGCTATATTTCTTTTCTTTTTTTTAGAAAGAACTGTAGTTGATGCTCTTGTCATACATTTGTGTTCACAAAATAGTTTATTTATATTCTTTTGAATAATCTTCAGTTTTTATTGCATTCAGGCGGTGGAGGATCCAAGTAATAGTGCCTAAGATTTGAACTTGGAATCTTAAGGTGAGTTTTGTGGATAGCATATAAAGGTCTGTACTTGCTTGGTTCCTGACAACATGCAAAGGTTCAACGAGATATTTGTTCCTTATTTTTTGTGTTTGTTCTGTTGTTTTATGGTCTTTGAAGACTAACTTAGTAGTATGCAACTTATCACCTTTTTTTTGTGGGAGTTAATCCTATTTGGTATTTGATATCATGAAGTAGGATACATAGGCCTCCGTTTTTCAGCTAATAATATCTTAACGTGTAATACTGTATGATTAATTTGAACAGGTGTAAAAAGATATGTAATCGTATATGTCAACTCTGTCTTCTATGAAGTAGAATTTTCCTAGATTTCTAGGACATTAACAGTCTATTGTTCTTCAATAGGTACTTTAAGTGCATGTCCTTGTGCTTAGCAATCCAATGATAACAAGCTTGAATAATTTGAGTCATTTGCTATAATGAGCAGAAGCTAGGCATGAGTAGTTTGAATATCTTTTGAGCAAAAGATTGTATTGTAAGAGTGCCTTGGAGGATGAAGGCTCTTTTCTTTTTTTCTAGTTTTTGGACATCAACGGAGTTGTTTGTTTATTCGTCCTAGTGTCTGACATACTTTTGTTTCCCATTTCTCTTAATGTTGTTGCTACTTGTCCTTCCTATTTGAATTTTTCAGCGTGCTTGTGCTCGGCTATCCTTAAGCTAGGGTTGACACAAATACGAGGGTGCATGCTGTTTATTCGATCACTTGTGTGCAAATGGAGTATTCTCATTGGACTCGTGATATGTAAGAAGATGTAATTCCACTTTGTAGGTATGCTCGTATCTGATGAATGTTGTAACTGATAGATTAAGATCACTTCAATGACCAACATAGTTGAAGATAAAACCACAATCTTTATCATATAGTATATGAACTGGTTAGTCATTAAGCTATCTGTAGATACCAGAAAGAACTTCAAGAATTGGCTAATATATTTCCTGCTTCCGAATTATTGCATACAGCCCCCTAGGCCAGGGGTTCTGTTGTGGGAAGGAAATCACAGAAAGCTTGCCTGCGGAAAGTCAGATGGTAAGTAATTGCAGTAGTTCCAAGTATATATTGTGTCAACACAGTGCCTGAAGTAATCATCATTCTATTTCCCTTGTTTGGTATAACCATAGTATGTAGTATACAAGAGATGACGATTGACGGCTACCACTCCTGTGTCGCATTTTCTTCATTCTAGCTAACTAAGTCCAAGAAAACTTAGTTCTCTGTAGAGTTTTTGGAAATGAAGAAGCAATTACTGCTGGTGCAGACATTCTGCTCATGCCTTCTAGATTTGATTTTTTGCATGTAATGTAAGCAGCAGAGATCTAGAAATACTCTGTTAATCCAATTAAACATGACCTACTTTGATCTGCGAAGTTATTTTGAAATGTCTGGTAGATTACAACTTTTATGTATAACGTGAAGAGTGTAAACAATAATTTGTAATATAAAAAACTAAAGTAATTGGAGTTATCTCTATCAAAGTTCTGGATTTTGTTAGTATTTTCTGATTTTTGTTGTTTATTTTATCTTTCTGTAATATGAATAAGGGTTATAGCAATCTTAGCCAGCTTTCTATCATTTTCAGCTCTATAATTTTTTCCATCATGCAGGATCTTGCTGCTTTAGAGTATTTTTCATATGTAGATCTTCCACCACACTATATGGATTCTTTCAAGTCGTATGACCCAGTAGGAGGTGAGCATTTCAACGCTTTTGCGGCTGGTCTAATACAACAGACCGTGTAGTTACAGTTAGTCATGGATATCCATGAGAATCTAAGACTTCGGAAGGTGGTTGCGGATTCATCAGATAATTAATGAGAACGATTAGAAATTACGGGGTATCGTGAGTGGGATGATACAAAAGAGTGGAACCCTGAGTTGGACGTTCACTTCAAGTCAGATGGTTACGTGAATTGCTCCTTGGGCACACTGCAGACTGGCAAGCCTTAATGTAAACCTGCATTGCTGAACAAACTTGGTTTACCAGTTCGTGATGATTTCCTACTGATCGGTTTCATTGGGAGGCTTGACCCACAAAAGGGTGTTGATCTGATTGCTGAGGAAGTGCCTTGGATGATGGATCAGGATGTACAACTGGTCATGTTGGGTACGGGGAGGCCTGACCTTGAACAGATGCTAAGGCAAATTGAGTGTCAACACAATTATAAAATTTGAGGCTGCGTTGGTATCTCTGTGAAGACTTCTCATGGTTTAACTGTTTATGTAGACATTCTGTTCATGCTAAGCCTATTGTCATAGTTTTTTTTGACTGCATTTGATTTTGTGGAATTATTAATAGTAAATATCTTTAAGCAATCACTTTCTAAGTATTGATTGTACAAGAAATGTTTTTGTAACTTATTCGTAATATATAGCTTTGATTTATTTATTGGCTAATTTTATGCTTTGGATCACTTACATATTTAATTATGTGATTAATGAATATATGTAAATAAAAATTATTATTTTTGAAAATGATAAATTGTGGCTACAAAAATTCTACACAACATTGCCACACTTTATAAGTGTTGTTCTAGATTTGATATAAAAGATAACACTTTTTAAATGTGACCATTAACAATGCAAAGACCACGCTTTTATGTATAGTATTAACAACGCAAAGACCACACTTTTAAGTGTAGTATAATAAAACAAAAGGTGTTGTTAATGAATTACTAAAATGTGTGTACTTTATACCTCTTTGGCCACGCTTTTTAAGTGTAGCTGCTACGGCGACATTTCAAAAGTGTGGCCTAATGTCAAACTTTACACTCCTTTTGGCCACCCCGTAAAAAGTGTTGCTTAAAGTCCAAAAGTGTAGATTTTTATCAAAATTCACACATTTGTCTAGTTTAGGCTACACTTTACTAGAGTGGCCGTAGGCCTAAAATGTTGTACTGAGAAATGTGTCTGCATCGGCACAAACCCCGTTGCAGCGTCAACTTTTGAACCACTAAGCTCTCGTTTGAAAAATCCTAAAAATCTATAATTCAAAATCCCAATCTCTTCCGCTACAACAACGCCCATCCTGCTGTAGCGGTGTCGCTGTAGAGGCAATAAACTCGCTACATTGGCCATAAGCGAGACAGAACCTTTTAGTTGAATTTTAGTTCCCCCTTTTTACAACACATTCTTAACCCACTACGCTCATAAAATACCCTTAACATTATGATCTATTCCCGGAGATCTATTTGTCCAAATTCGATTATGTTAAGCCGTACGGATTTCTTAATGAGTTATCTAACTAGTTATGAAGTAGAATCACATTTACTCCACCCGATTGGTACCATATTTCCCTACACCTATATGACTTCAATTTTCTCCAAATCTGGACAAAGTTGGGAAAATCCTTATACTAAGAAAAAAGTTTCTGGTTTCAATTTTTCCTCGTTAATATTTCTATAACGACGGAACCCGGTCGTTACACTTCCTGTACTAGCGGAGGAGCAAACCACCTTTAAGCAATAACCAACAATCAAGATAAAAAGAATTGTCTAGATGTTGTCACTCGTATCATCAAAGTCTTTACTCTTGATGTTTATGATTTGCTAGACCTACAAGCAAGTTTATCTTTTGTTACTATCTATTTTTCAATGAATGTTGATGTCCTTTTTGAGAAACTTTGTATACCCTTTTGTGTTTCTACAATAGTTAAGGAGTCTACTCTAGTTGATAGGGTATATCATCGTTGTCTCTTTTCCATCAATCACAAGAAAACCATGATTGAATTAGTTAAGTTAGACTTGGTAGATTTTGTTGTTATTCTAGGTATGGAGTGACTTCATGCGTGGTAAGCCTGTATTGATTGTAAAACTCGAGTTGTTAGGTTCCAAATTCTTAATTAGCCAATATAGATTAGAGTAACAGATCAGCAACTCCTAAGGGTTCATTTTATTTCGTACCTTAAGGCGATAAAGTTAGTTTCTAATGGATGTGTCTATCACTTAGGCTGAGTTAATGATTCTTGTTTTGTGACACCTCTTATTGAGTTTGTTTTAGTTTTGTGAGAGTTTCCAGAAATCTGTCAAATTTATCTAAGTGGAGTCCTTCCTAAGAGACAACTAAACTTCGGTATAGATATTCTTCCCGATACTCACCCTATATCTATTTTCCCATATATAATGGAACCAAAACAATTAATAGAGGTAAAATCGTAGTTGAAATATCTTCTATATAAAGGTATCATTCCACTGAGTATCTCATCATGGAACGCTTCAGTTTTATTTGTGAGGAAGAAGGATGGTTCCATTAGAATGTGTATAGATTATCTCTAGTTTAACAAGGTTATCAACAAGAATAATTATCCTTTTAGTAGAATTGGTGATCCTTTCGATTATCTTCAGAGTGCCACATGTTTCTCAAAGATAGACTTCAAATTGGGCTACATTCAGTTGATGGTAAGGGAATGTGACATTCCTAAGACAACATTCAAGAGTCGTTATGGTCATTATTACTTCCTAATTATGTCTTTTTTTGACCTATGCGCCTACAACATTGATGGGCCTTATGAATAGAGAATTAAGGCCTTATTTAAATATGCTTATTATTGTGTTCATCAATGACATTCTAATCTATTTGAGGAATAAGGATGATCATGCTAGCCATCTCAGAATAGTTCTTCAAATTCTAAAGGATAAGGAGTTATATGTTATGTTCTCTAAATGTGAGTTTTCAGCTAAGTCTTTGGATTTCATAGGCTATATTTTTCTGGTAATGGGATTACAATTGACACTAACAAGATAGAGGTAGCGCAGAATTTTCCAAGACACATATCTCCAATTGATATTAGGAGTTTGTTCGGGTTAACTGGATATTAAAGTATATCATCGAAGGGTTCTCATTTATTTCATACCTTTTTACCATGTTGACTCATATATAGTGAAGTTTCAATGATCTGAAGATTTTGAGAAAAGCTTTCAAAAACTAAAAAAATGGTTGACTACTGCCCATGTTTTGACTTTACCAGAGGGTACTCAAGGTTTTGTTTTGTATTGTGATGCATCTAGAGTTTGTTTGGGTTTTCTTTTGAGGTAGAATGTCAAAGTAATAGTTTATGCCTCCATATAGTTGAAAGTTCCTTAGAGAAATTCCCAACCCATTATCTAGTTAGTTGTCGTACTATTTTCTTTATAAATGTGTCGCCATTATCTTTATGGTGTTCCTGTGGATGTGTTCACTGATCACAAGAGTGCTCTTTATTTGTTCAATGAGAAAGAAATCAATCTCTTACAAATTAGGGTGTTGGACTTACTCAAATATTATGATCTGAGTATTCTTTATCACTCAGGTAAGACTAATTTTTGTAGTGAATGCCTTGAGCAGGTTTTCCATGGGTTATGCCTCCCACTTTGAGGAAGACTAGAGAGAGTTAGTAAATGATGTGCATGACTTGCATGCTTAGGAGTTTGACTTATTGATTTCATCGAACAAGGAGTAGGTTTGATGAATAAGGTTGAATAATCATTAGTTTCAGAAGTAAAAAAGAAGCAAGACCACCATCATTAGTTCATAAGAAAAAAGAAATGTCTTTTGAACAAAGTAAGACCACCATCATTAGTTCATCGCGTTTATGTTCTTGACCACATAATCTATGTGTCCTGAATCATTGGGCGGTATAGTGATAATAAGTGGAAATGTTCCGTGATATGCCGACTACTCCTTTCTTTCCCTATTTGATCCTCTTCCTTCAAGGCTCAACACATAGGAATAAAAGGCGAAGTACGTGTCTTCAGCGATTTGCCAATTGTACTTGGCGATGCTCAGGCCTTTGATTCTTCATTCTTTTCACCCTTTTGTACCTTTATTCTTTATACTATTCATGATTTCCTTAAATTTTCAAATACTTGAAACTTAAGATTTTTTTATTAGATATCAGAATAAAATACGCATTTGATGACATTATTTCCATTATAATATAGACCTAAATGAGTCCAATATGTGAACTTATCAACACCCCCAACATAATCTTTTCCTTCTCCTCAAGAAAATATCATGTTCAGCATTTCAAAAAGGATATCTCAAAAAGTACTAATTAAATTATGAACGCACACAAAAAGACTAAAACTACTTATAAAAAGATTCAATGTTTAATCAGAGATTCAAGTTGTGACACACAATTATCAAATGCTTCAGATGCACGTTAAAGCTTAAATATAAGCATTAATATGCCCTTACAGAAATAACAAATCCATTTTCACACACAAGTGTAATCAATTTGAAGTTCAGGAATCATATATAACACTCGTTCTCATAAAGAGGAACACAATGTATGCTTCAACCCATAGATTTGCCCTTATTTTCTAGTTAACATTTGTTTCAGATTTCTCAAGACTAAAAAGATTTTTTTCTAAAGCTTGTAATGGATCTATGTTCAATGTATGGTCATATTGGTTTAGTGACTAAAGATCCTCAGGAATTGTGTTACTCACAACACTAACTTTTCTTCTCCTTCTTTTATCAATGTTTATTTCAGTGCTTTTAAATCATTCCATAATTCACATCCATGGGTCTTTTGGAACCCCAAATTTCTTTAATACTTCTATTCTACAACATTCTTTTTTATTCTTTTCTTTGCTCTTTCATTTTCTATTTTTATATGCATCGTGGGTATCCATTCTTTGCAATACCATGGGTTAAGGACACTTTTCATGCAATTCCTGACTCCACCTCTTCCGTTTCACCATACCTCAACTTAAGCTTTTCACTTAAGTTGGTTATTCACTAAACCGGTGTAGGTTTTTTCAAGTTTCTTATAAAGAAAGGTAACGTTCAAGGGTGTTCAAGAGAGGTCGACACACTCACAAGGGAGGGTCACAAAAGAGGTATATGTCAAATTGGTTCACATTCTCTAAAATTGTATGAGATCATATCAAGAGAAAGCATCGCTTAGTAGAATACACTAAAAAGGAAAATTCTAGGTTTATTCATGCATGGTTCAAGGTAGGATTATCACACAAGGTATTGATGCTTATGGAAAAGATGTCTTCGCACTTTGGCTAGTGTGCAATGGTCATAATAAGAGACTCAATTTGACATGGCTAATCACAATGAGATGCAAAAAGTTCACATATTGTTTACGAAACTTCATTTAGTCTCGTCGTTGCCTCACATTCATGTTTGATCAATTTGGAATACTATTCAAATCATCGGTATTGATTGGAACTGATACTCAAATTTGCAACAAAACAACCTCTTTCAACACAAGTAGTGGAGAAAATTTTTCAAAAAATAAAATAATTTCGTAAGGGTAAAAATCTATTGCAATTTAACCAAAAGAGGAGCCATAAGCTCAAGCAACCACACAAACAATATAAAACACAATTTAAAAATAGAAAACCCATTTATATGCAGAAAAGCAAGTATCCACACAAAAGGTGTGGGACTCACCACACCAAATG